TGACTCTGGACTCCTATAAAATGTACTACTATTATTTTCAAAAAGTATCAAACGACAAGATGATTCCCTATCCAATACATCACAACAATGATTTCCTCTTATATATTACAAAAACAACAATCACGTGGGGACTTTGAGATTGGCCGGTTAATTATATTATTCATTCATTTACTTACCTACATATATTGCTTACCTACCAACCTTACCAATGCATCAGCAAGAAGAAAAAAAAAAGATTATGGAGTAGTTATTTTTTAGTCCATTCCAGAAAAAATGTCATCTTATTATAATTAAAAAATAATTTATTAACTTTAAAATATTATTTTTATCCTTAATGAAATATGTATAAGTGCCTCTACATGATAGACCTTAATATAAAATTCAAATGTAATGATAATAAGTGATTGGGTTTGTAGTTCCTAATCTAAATCTAGTGACTCTAGAGACTTAGTAATATGGGAAAAAAAAATTGTTTTAACATTGACAGTATTGGGAGCTCTCCTCTTTTTCACAAAGAAGCAAATTGAAAGCTAAGTAGTGTGAATTAATTTTATAAATTTTCCATAAAGAAAATAATAGCTCCTACGTTACTCATAATAAATGAAACTATTAATGGGTTTATGGATACTCGATTGATAGATGATAGATTTTCTACTGTGATGGCTGGTCTTAATTCTCCTAACTTTAAACACTGTTGGAATAATAATTACTACTGTTTTTTTCTTGGATAATTTTGATTTTATCGTACTATAACTCCGAAGACCGATACTATAAAGAGAAAGTCATGAATGTAACTGCATGTTGCATATATTACTCTATAAATAATGTCGATAACACAATATGCTTTTTCAAAGCAGAAAATAATAATGCTTAAACAACGCCCATGGTTTTGGACTTTATCAGCAGGTTTAATATTTATTTAGAAGAACATATCCGTAACATGATTATCCAAGTGGATATTATAAAATTGGTAAATGTACGTTAAGTGGTCTATCGAGTGAGTCACTGTCTCTCTTTTTTTTTTTTTTTTTTTTATCAGTGTTCTATATCCATTAGAGTTCGACTAAATTTCATTCGCACCAAAAAATTCCATTGGAAGTAAAACGTCCTTAACAAAAGTGACTCTATACCGAAAAAGATTCAAACCCGAGACCTCTAGATTAAAAATAAAGGAAGTACTTATCATTCCACCAAGGTGATACAATTTTATTTTTAAGCTATTTGTTTCAAAAGAAAAAGAAAAGATAAAGTATAAGAAAATGCCAGCACTTTCATCAGATGATCATGGTCACACTATACAAATTAATAAGTTTTTGGAAACTTACACAAATCTCACTATTTTAGGATCAAATTATTTAGATATATTTAGTCTGTAATATTATGAATCTTATCAGATTTTGGTGCGTTCAGATATATGAATCCAACTGAGCCCACAATAACAGCTAAAGAGAGAAGCACATAGAGAGCTTTAGTAAAAGAGGAGGATTTTGTTTTGGGAGAATCCAACAATGGTTGACTTGAGAGGAAGTAGACATGACTTAGTGAAAATGTGGAGTGTGCTTCTCATTTCTTATGTTATTATTATATATAGACTCAAAAAAGGGCCAATAATGTTCGATATTATTTTAACATACATCTTGTAAGAAACAGTACATTTTTAATAAAGCTACTTTAATTTACTTTATTAGGTGATCTGGAAAGATTAATCAGGTATTATATTATTAATGTTTGACCAATGCGAGTGTTTCTTTTCATGGCGAAGTAGGTATGGTTAGTCCATATATGCTAGTATATGTAGTTTTTTTATTTAAATTAATTATGTTTAACCAACAAAATAGTACGATTGAATTTGTTATAATGTCAAAGACAAACATTTCAATTTAACTCATTGATAGGTATATTAGTAGTTAATTAATATAATTGTAAATGAATTAAGTAGAGTGCAATCGGTCTTAGATGTGTGGGTAGATTAATTCGGAAATGATTGACAACTAAGACTTGGTAAAATATAAAAAGCTAAGCTTCAAGTAATTAAGAATATCATTATATTGTTTAGAATCCAGTCATTTATATGTATATCAAGACTACTATTTCATTAATTGTAGGCAATTAAGGCTGATATATTAACCAATCGAAAAGCTTCACTCTAGCCTTGAAGTACTATAACATCCAATAGAAAAGCTCTATCTGAAAATACTATTACTCATGCTAGCTGATAAATAGCAGGTTATAATCATTTTTTATCAGGTTACAAAGCAATATTTGGATGTATATATAACCTTAAAGCAAGCGATATAGTTCTATAATAATTTTTGTATACCACGGGTACATTAAATTTGATTTCTCCACACATACACAGTACTAGCATTTAGAAAGCTCAAATCTTACGCAGTCATGTTTTTTTATTATAATAAAGTGTCGGTGTAATAATATAACAGCGACGTAAAACTATATATACTAATAAGTTATAATTATAGCTCAAAGATAAGATATTTAAATTGGATCCAATTGTCCCTTAAAACATTAAAGAGTCATTTGTTTAAAGCATATAGAAATAAAAAACAAGAATCAATTTGACCAAACCATCATCTATATAGCCATGTATTTAAGAATTTTTTCTAGTAGCAATATCCACAACAGTTCTTTCCTTTTATTTACAATAAACTTTAACTTGGATATTTTAATGCACTGTCTGCCTTTGTTCTCTTTTTGTTTGTTCGATATACTATATATTATTGATCTTTTTATTTGTTCACCTTAGCAAATTAATTAAGAGAATTAATTCAACGATATCCTTATCAATATAAGTAATCATCCCAAACTAATAAAAATAATGAAATTCATATTTAATAAAAAAAGAACTATTCATATATTAAAATTTGTATGACTTTTATACATGGTTTGATTACAAAAATGAGAAATAATAATCTCTACGTAAAATCTAGCATATGTTATGCAATATTGTTTGGTTAGTTTTTCCTCTTTGCACCTAAAATATAGCATTGCTAGCTAATATAATGTTTGGTTCATGTTTTTCTTATTCTGATAACTAATACATTATAAGTAATGAAGGAATGTCGACGTATTATCTCATGTAGTAGTAGAAGATAAAATAATTAATATTTCTAATCTCTGCATAACTAATGTCTATATAATTACTAATGATGTATAATTAATCTTTATATTATTTCTTTGTCCATGTTTACTTGTCTACTATACTAAAAATAGTTGTCCAGTTTGATAAATTAAGAGATAATTTACTTTTTTATGTTTGTTTTACCCTTGCTATTAAATGTTATTCAACATATAATATATTTCCCAAAGAATTAAATTTAGCTTTTTTCAAAGGATAATGTAGTAATATTACTCCTATTATTTATTAGTATTTCTTAAGGTATGTGTCAAGTCAATAGGGGACAACTATTATTGACCAGAAGGCAGAAGGAGTACTAAATTTGCATACTCTAGCAACAACTAAGCAATCCCATAACTTGAGTCGATCAATTCATGGTCTATTGAAAAGGTTTTTCACTTTCACAAGATAAGAATTAGGTTAAGTACACATCATTACTCTTTGACTTCATTTATGTAATTACATTAGATATGTTATTGTTGTTTTAGAATCATAATTATGGAATAATTTTATTTTTTGTATTGAATAGAAATATAATGCGGATATACAGATTAAATTTTAAAACACATTCCAACTAGCCCAAATTCGAAAAAAAATTGTTTTATTTGAAATTGGTTGGGTTGTGTTCCTGTGTAATAGGAAATTTTTTATTTACACTACTTATTGCGACAAATGCTTGTCAGAAAGTGTTTATAGTACTTTTAATACTTTATTTTTTATATTAACATATTTAATATGAAGAATTACTTATTATTGTAATGTCAATTCAATATGATAATATATAAATAATTTACATTGTTAACCCACAAGCATCAACTTGTTCCTTAATAGTGTCAAAATAATTATAAATAGATTACTCGGTTTACGATGGTATGTATAAATCAGATATTCCCTGAATTGGTGGCTTTCATATATGATCACTAATTAAATTGGTTGTTGGGCACTAAAAACGACCTCTCATGCATGCCTTTTCTGTTAATCTAAAAAATGAAATAAATGAAAACCAAAGTAATTCATGTTGCATTATTCTATCAGTAATGGCGACAAGAAAACATGCTTTTCCAAAAGAATATTTTGCTTACATAGAAAATAAATTTGTACCGAATAGATGATTTGTTTTAGGCGATCAGTTTCCAATTTGAAAAGTGGTACGAGGAATATGAATTTTTTTTCTTAGAAAGAAGAGTGAACTTTAATTGGTGTTAGAGTGTCATCAAAATGAACAGAGTTAGGACATATCATTAATCGATCTAATAAGATTGAATTAAACTCCAGTTACACGTAAAAAAAAAAAAAATCACTTTAACTTTTATGAATAAATTGAATAACTCAGCTAATTTACTGAAGTAGTAAATCTTAAAGTCCTGAAATATTTGAAAGTTTCCTTGTATCACTCAACGCAACCTATAATTAAGCCAGCAGACATATTGAACGTGAACCACTATAAAATGTCTATTTTTAAAAAGTAGTCTAAATTAAACGACAAGATGATTCCCTATCCACGATAGACATCATAACAATGAATTCCTCTTTTATATTATTAAAAAAAAAAAAACAATCACGTGGGCACTTTGAAATTAATTAGCCGGTTAATTATATATATTCATTTACTTACTTGCATATTGCTTACTACCAACCTTACCAATGCATCAGCAACAAGAAAATAAGGTTATGGAGTAGTTCCTGCTATCAATAAACAATCCCATTTTATGTGATTGGACATCAAATTTTGATATATCTCTTATAATATATATATATATATATATATATATATAGGCCCGTGCAATAGTGATATATATATTACTTGTTCAAATTAGTTTGTTTTGATATTAATGAATGAAGGATTAGGCTGTTTGTAGAAGATGGCTAATATTATATATTATATATTAATATGTACGATAGACATTAGTATGGCATAGATTTGAACGATCTGCACATACTAACTAATGTAATACACGCAAAATATAACATATAGTACATGTTGCAGTTTTGCTATATAAGATTAGCATGTCATTGTTTATGACATATTTTGAGGACGATGCAGTTTGCTTCTCCATAGGTAATGTGCCTCATGCAAAAAACCAGAGCATAGCCATTATGTTGTCCCTATTATAAGCAAAAGTGACAAAATGGGAGGTCTGAGTTCCTGTAATTATAGAGTTTAAAGTATGTTAGAATAAAGCACTTTGAATATAGGGATCAAATAGAAAGGAAATGATGGAATGATGATAAAAGTGGTACATTTGCTGTTGAATTGCTGTGTGATTGCCCTAATAGTGTATGCATAGTGTATGACATCATAACAAAGTAGAATAAGGAAAATGTAGAAGACTGTGTGCAGCGGAAGTTATGAATGTGAGCAACATTGGTCCGAATAAAATGTGAGAAGTCCAACTCTGTTTTGCTGGTTTGGAAGGCAGTTTGACTGGATGTGAGTTGAGCTGTTGGAAGGAGTACAAATATGAAGGAGTAAGAAATTAGGGTTGGTGGCAGAAAGAGCTGCTGCTAACTGTGAAGTAATGAAGCTGGTCAATTGTTATAACTAAAATAAGCTATTTCAACTGTGAACATGAGATGAGGGTTTAGAAGTAAAGCGATAACCAATTGATTTGAGTGTGGATATGAACACGAATAGACATTTTGTAGGGTTAAATTAATGTGGGAGTTGTGAATGGGATGTGAGACATAAATGGGGAAAAAAGACAAATTTCCAAGCAGGTAAGTGGAAATACAAAAGGAGTAGTATGACTTAAGTATGACATTTACAAAGTTTGACAGGAACTATATGGATACGTGTATTAGAGAGAGTAAAGTACAGCTGAAGGTACAGGTTTTTAGCAGGAAATTTGGAAATACTTGGGAAAATATGCAAGTAATAATCAGTGTGACCTATAGGTTGGTCTGAAAGTGAGAAGTAGACTGACCTTTTACACCTTTTTGGTTGGTGTGGGTGGTTCAAATTCTGGCAGAGGATTTGAACAGGTAGCTGCAGTAGTGGTTGGCATGATCCTTACTTCACTTATTTCCAAAGGTTTAATCTTCTTAGAAGTCCTATCAGTAGTGCTCTGTGGTGTATGGGGTTTTTCCATGTAGGAAAGAACGGACAACGTTGAGAAAGCTAAATTTAGGTTTCAAATTTGCATCTGTGAAATTGGTGTAAAATATTACTTCCTCTGTCTAAAGAAGAATATTAGTTGGAAAAGTCGACGGCCTATAAAAAATAATAGCATAACTTTCTATTTCATAATTCTTACTTGTAAAATTATACTCCCTACGTCTGTGTCATCCTTTCCTTTTTAGTCCGTCTCAAAAGAATATCAACTTACTATAACTAAAAAATAATTTAATAACTTTAAAATACTCCTTTTACCCATAATGAAATACGTATAAGTGCCTCTACATGATAGACCTTAATATAAAATTTAAATGTAATGATAATAAGTTATTGGGTTTTGTAGTTCCTAATATAAATCTAGTAACTCTAGAGACATAGTAATATGAAAAAGATAAAATTGTTTTAACATTGACAGTATTGTTGGAAGCTCTCCTCTTTTCACAAAGAAGCAAATTGAAAGCTAAGTAATGTGAATTAATTTTATAGATTTTCCGTAAGGAAAATAATAGAGATATCGCTCCTACGCTACTCATAATAAATGAAAGTATTAATAGATTTTCTACTGTGATGGCTGCTCTTAATTCTGCTAACTTTAAACACCGAAGGAATAATAATAGAGTATTGTTTTTTTCTTGGATAGTTTTGGACTTTATCTGCAGGTTTAATATTTATTTAGAAGAACATATCCATAACATGATTATCCGAGTAGAAGTTATAAAATTGGTAAATGTCAAGTACTCTATCGAGTGAGACATTTTTTTTTTCATCCGATATTCGATATCTATATTAGAACCTGACTAAATTCGATTTGCATTAAAAAATCCAACACATTAAAGATAAAATACTCCCTAACAAAAGTGATTTCATATCCAAAAAAAAATACAATTTTATTAATAAGTTATTTGTTACAAAAGAAAAAGAAAAGTATAAGAAAAGCCAGCACTTTAATCGGATGATCATTGTCACACTATTACAGATTAATAAGTTTAAACTCACAAAAATCTCACTAGTTTAGGAGCAAATTATTTAGATTTATTTTAGTTTGTAATTTACGAATCTTAATAGTAAATTTTTGTGCGTTCAGGTACGTCCAGATACATGTATTCAGAAATACATTGAGTCAAATCTACATCTAAGTGATTTTAAGCTTTTGAAGTGTTTGATAAGGTTAAAAATAACTTAAAATAAGTAAAAAATAACTTTAAAAAAGTTAAAAACTAAAAGTAAGTCTCCCCTTACTTTTTATTTTTTAACTTAAAAATCATTTAAGTTTAACTTTTGAATTTTTTTTAATCAATCCAAACAGGCTCTAAATATCTATTTACTTAAAATAGTAAAAAGTAAAAAAAGAAGAAGAGATAGTTTAGCTATATTGACCGTGACCCTGAGCCCGCACCCTGTTTGAACAATTATAATAGCCTAATTTAACAGACGGGACATTGTTTTTATTATCTCTTCTTATTTTGAATAAATTTAGTATGGATTTGGTAATTATATTATGACAAATTGCATTGAATAAAATAATTTAACTAAAAAAAATGTATCCTTCTGAATTCACTCTTTCTAGTCTTAAAACTATACGCCAAATTATCCTTCCGTAGAAGTCCAAAAATTTGTTTGACACAGTTTAATCCAATAAGAGGTTTAAGATATAATTTATTTATTTTTAAAAATTTTATGATCTTAAATATATCATAACACTTGTATGGTTATAAGACTTTTGAAATTTATGCTCTGAAAAAATGTCATAATATTTATGTGGCTATAAAAATATTTCATTAAAAAGATATAAAAATATATCAATTTTATTAACGTACTAATAAAAAAATAGTATCAAACAAAGTTGATAGATAGAGTACTATTTTTTCATAGTTGCAAGTCTCGTGGCAAACATGCATGTTACATAGAATTTTACCGATTCAAAGTGCATCGATATTTACTAGTTAAGTAGTTATAAAAAATACGTAAAAGGCATAAATTTTTCCTTGAACTTTTTTTAAAAAAAATAACTATTTAAAACATAAAAAAATAAAATCAAACATATATTACATCGAAATAAATCATGAATTTTATTTTTCTTTACCTTTTTAATCACATTTAAAACAAAATTCAGACACTTTTAACTATTTATTAACAGTTAATATTTATTTATACTTATTAAATTAATATTTGTTTATGCTTATTAGTTTTCAAAGAAGTCTCTTTATAAATTTTATCTAAATGAATACGTTAATGAAATATTCACATAAAGATAATTACTTCAAAATCTATTTGTTGTATAGGTAGATAAAGCCAAATAATTAGAGAACAATTATTTTGAAAAGTGATATACAATTTTTTCTTTTTCTATTTCTATCTATGCATAAAAAAATTGACCATATAGCTTTTTCCTTCTATGGATGTGACTTTGTAGTTGTTGAGACAAAATTACTATAATAACTTCACATTTAGAATAAACACTATCACTTAGATTTGTGTGTGCATTATATAGATATAGCAACTTTTTGAGCATTAAAATCTATTATCTATAATTATTGTAAACCATTATAAGCTTTTCTTTTTTGCAGGATGATTGGTGTTTAATGTGCATACTTGAGTTTTTATTTTTATTTTAATATACCGTTGAAGTTATTATTTACACATATTTAGTGTGTAGCATTTATTTGATAATATTATTTAATAACAAGTTAAATTTTGAAATTGTCAATAGATTAATTTTTATAATTACATTTATTAACTAACCGCGCAATGTGCCGCCACATCATGCCATGTCTGAAATTTTAAAAAATTATATTTTTTTATTTTTAATTAACTTTTCTTTTGTTAACTATATTTTACACTAATTAATCTCTCATTAATTATTAAAATTCTCTAATAATTATATTTTCTTCATAGCAAAATTACAACTAGGAAAGTTTCAACAATGACCACCAAGAACACTAATCGAAATCTGGAGCTGATTCATGGAGTGGAAAATTCTCTCATTCACTCAAAAAAGCCCGTCATAGCTGCGGGGGCTGAGAAACCCCTAATATTATATATCTTGCCGATGACATTAAAAAACCATTTGTTAACAAACACAAATCAAAACTCACAAAACTTAGATTGATGATAAGTAATTTTCTAAGCAAGCTGAGAAGAATTAAATCGAAGAAGAAAGAAGGAGAGATTTTTACTTAAAAGAAAGAGGAGAAAGATGTGCTTCCTCAAGAGGGGTGAGGTGAAGAAGAAGAAGAAGAGGGTGGGTTGTGAAGAAGAAGAGACGTGGAGGGTGGGTGCGTGGGGTTTAATTGAATTTTTTTTTTCTACTTTAATAAATTTGACGCGCCTATTTTATTTGTTTAAAAATTATTTTACCAGATCAGTTTTAGGGGTAAATAAATTTATTATTAAAATAGTAAATGTGTGTAATAGATCGTCATGATAATTTAAGCGTGTAATGACTTTTCGTAACAAGTTCAGAAAAGAAATCTATGCCTTTTTCCCTAAAAAATAGCAAGGTGAAGTCTTATACATTTATAAAACGAATTAGTTAGTTTAACACAAATTGGTTCGTATTAAACCTGTTGTTAGTGAAAACTTACAAGATAACAAAAATACAAGATTACAATTGAAAATACAAATGAAGAAATAAATCTCTTCAGGCTGAAGCGCGGATATCTCTCTCTCTTTAAGGAGATTCAAGCCCATTGCAGCAAATGTTTTCACCGGTCCAGCAGTAGTCCTTCTTAACTTGTCCCCTCCAGGATACAACAGCCTTAACACAAAGTATAACTCAACAACTCTGGACAAGAGTTGAGTCCAAAGCTCCACAAAAAGAAACACTTCCCTTCAACTAATAAGAACTCTCTTTTTGACAAACCTTATGCACTATATATTTCTTGTTGTATTGTGTGTATCAAACCAAATGAAGACCACCACTATTTATACTAGAAGAAGTCTTCCTAGCAATGAATAGGAAGATAATGATATAGTAAATAGTGAAGATAATTGACCTAGAGGTTACATATGTTACATAGGTTACACAGAATAATGGAGGAATAAAGAGTGAGACAATGGAAAAGTAATGGTCATAGTTGACCACTACTCATTCTGCCAAGAAACCCAATGGACAAGTACCATTACACATTCACTATACGTTTGACACATGATAATAAATATGACATCAAATGTCATCAACTGTCAAACGGTAGTAACGCAACTAATGTGTTATTAGGCAGAAAGCAAATGGCATTTGCAAAGTATAATAATATTAAAAGATATAATAATATTAAAATGTCACAACAATCCCCCACTCATTTTAATATTACATAAGAGAGTCTATCAGCTGAAGGAAGACTACTATGCATAATGAAGATGTGCTCTGCATTGAACCTCCACTTAATGAAACAGTAACTTTTACTCCAGAGTCGTAGTGGTCTCAAACTTGAACTATGACTGCTTAAGGGAAATAAAATATCACTGCTCACACATAATAATCAAGGTGTTGACATGAGCTTTAAAGTCGGCACGTTATGGCCATGTGCTATCTCGGTTTCATGAGTGCTTTTGAGAATAAGCCAAACTCTCATAGGAAGCGACCTACTTCCACACATCACATATGGGAAATCTGTCGAGAGTGATCATGTAAGCTTAACACTCCACCCATACGGTTACATATATTCATTAAGAGTTTTGTCAACTCAACCTTCACAAATCACTACAGGAAACAATGCACTCACATCATAGGAAGGGAATAAAAAGATAGAGCATTTTCACAACAAGTCATCATATGATTAGTTTTTCCTTTTGAACCTAGTTATAGGATCTCTAGTCCCCAGGTTGGGTTTCCTCATATATGACTCAATGATTTATAGGCTTCAATCCCATCTCCCTCGATGTGCTCCAGACCTTTTCTCTTGTTATTTCTCTTGTTAAGGCCTTAGTAAGAGGATCTGCAAGATTATCACAAGATTTGACATATCAACATTAATGGTACCATTTGTCAAATA